TTCTTCTTCTTCTTCTTCTTCTTCTTCTTCTTCTTCTTCTTCTTCTTCTTCTTCTTCTTCTTCTTCTTCTTCTTCTTTATTTCCTCGAGGTGCACGGTTACGCGATACATCAGCAGATTCAACACGTGCAGGAAAGCTGCCTCTGGAGTTTCTCTCCAGCGCTTTTCTTTTGCCGCGCTAACGCCCTTGCTCCAGCTGGACGCTGCTCGCGCGGCTCTGCCTCTTGTAGATGGCTAACGCTACCATCGTGCCGACGCCAGGCCAAGCACCAGACTACCGCACGCACGGTTACTTTGCCGCCACTTTTACGCACCGTTTACCCTCACCGGAAGGAAGAGACGCGGCCGGACGCTCGCCCGCCCGAGAGGCAGGCAACCCAACTGCCTCTGTTCTCCACACTCCATTCTCCAGCGCTTGCTCGTGTTTTCTCGCCGCCTCTGCCTGTCCTGCGTTAATCAACGCTATGGCGAGTGCGTATGTACCGCGCCGTACCGGCCAGTGGCACGCCGGCGTGGCGGTTTGCGGTGTTCTCTCGCCGGCCCGAATGGGGACGGGCGGGGCAGGACAGGTTGGACTGGGGCAGGTTATGAGGCGTGGCATCGAGACGGTCCAGTGTCAAGATCAGGGCGTGCTGGAGACGACTGCCGCCCCGCCACCGCTGCCACTGCTTTCTTTCTGGATGAGTGACGGGCGGGAGGGAGTGCCCCCCCCCCCCCCCCACCTCCCTGAATCATATCGGGCGCATAGCCTACTGGCTACGGTGGATAAGGAGTGAATTATGACTGAGTTGCACCCGGTGCAGTTTTTGGAAACCGCCTCCACACAGACCTGATCCTGCAGTGTAACTCAGTGTGTTGTGAAGATTACTTTTTTCTGCACCGATGCAGCTGGTTCCACTGGATGCCCCGGCGTGGCGGGGTGTGGTGTGGCGGGGCGTGCGCACGCGTGCCTATAAGAGCGGGGGGCGTGCCTCCCCGCGGGCTCACTGCAGCTGCAGCCGGCGCACAGGCCGCGTACCCAGCACGTCCACTCGTCACTCGTCACTCGTCCTCTCTCCACGATGATGGCCGTGACTAAGGTGAGTCCGCCTGCTCCTCTATGGCCCTCCTGAGTCGCCCCTGCGCCTGCGACTGACCCTACTCGCCACACCCTCGCCGTCCGCAGGTGGCCGTGTGCGCTCTGGTGTGCGCGCTGGTCGTCGTCTCGGAGGGCATGCCGAGGCCGGAGCCCGATCCCGGGGCGCCCGCTAGCGCCAGGGTCGGATACGCGCCGCACGAGGAGCCGCACGACTACAACGTGAGTGGCGCCGTACTTTTAGACAAACAATTGTTTCCGCCCCTTCACAAATATCCAAAACCTCTGTCCGGGGTTTCCAGGCGCACCCGAAGTACTCGTACAAGTACGGCGTCAGCGACCACCACACGGGCGACATTAAGAGCGCGCACGAGACGAGGGACGGCGACGTGGTCAAGGGCCAGTACTCGCTGGTCGAGGCCGACGGCACCATCCGCACCGTCGACTACACTGCCGACGACCACAACGGCTTCAACGCCGTGGTAAGCAAGTCGGGGCACGCCGTGCACACTCTCGGGCACCGTCCTTAGGACCGTCCAAAGACTTAGCAGCATAGAGTGTGTGTTTGTGTGTGCGTGTGTGTGCGTTTGCGTGTGCTGTGTGTTAGTGTAAAAGTGTATATAAACATGTGAATGATGTAAAATTTAAATTTGTCTTTGTCCTTATGCAAATAATGTTAACTGTAAATAAAGGAACTATTTGCGAAGATCGTGTTGTAAGTCGTTTATTTTAAGAACACATTGGGTGTTGAACACTTGCAAAAAAGTTACATTCTACACATTTTCATTCTCGCATTGCACTCTGACCGTCTTAATTTCATAAATTAGGAAAGTGAAAAATGTAAAATAGAAGATTTGACTGTATTGTGCGTGACTGAGTTCAGCACAATTATGGAAGAATATATAGGAAATACTGTGCATTGAGTGGAAGATTTATGATACTTAAGTGAAAGAAGTAGAGATAAAGTAAGTTTAATGTTTCAAAATATGCGGAGGTTTGAGGTTTCCTGGATCGTTTGTGACTCAAATGGCCCTATTATGGGCAAATTATCAACACCCTGTTCACAGCTTTATCTAATGTGAATCTTAACGGCCACATTTTAATTAACCTGATAGTACTCTCACAATCCTAGAGTATAGTACATATACAATACAATGGTCCCATGTTACCTTGGAAAATTTCCAAGCGTAATAATTTACATAGTATGTGTTTTATGTATACCCTCCTAAACATTGATCCATTTTTCCTAGTGGACTGCCTTCCTAAACATGCTATAAAAACGATTCAAAGTAAAAATCAGGATCACTTAACCAACTACAGTTTATGGCAGGATTTAATTTTGAGACAAACTGAGAAAGACATTTTATATAAACAGAATTGATTGCGATTGATTGGCACTTTTCTAAGGACATAGGAACTGAGCGAGTGATGAGGTTTCAAGTTACATCTACAACATTTGAAAAGGGAAGAAATAATGTGCCACTCTTACCAGTTAGAGGAAAGTCTATATACATCTGAATAGTCATCTCTAGATATAGTTCTTTAAAAGTGACAATTTTGAAATTTACGGGAAAAATACATATTTATTATTGTCAAGCAATAGATTTTGCTTCGTCAATAAATAAAATTTCCTGCATAAAACATGCAGGTAAATGGAATCCACATTGGCTGCAGAGGTGAGAAAATGGAAGAGGGTTTTAGTGCCATGCCACAGGAGATGGCATGTCCACATTGTGGTGCCGACTCCTCGGTCTCGGAATCCACATCACTTAAAAGCTTATTTTTAAGCTCAGAACTAACTCAGCTGTTCGGTAGCCAGAGGATGACGTCTTCCTGCACGGCGTCCGTGACAAGGCGGAGATGCTCGTCGTCGGACACCTTCGGGTAGCGGCGGTGCGCATCCCGCACCACCCTGCTGAGCTTCTGGACGGCCGCCACGATGGCCTTGACCTCCTTGTCGCCGACGGGCACCAACTCGGCCGCGTCCTCGTCGTGCAGGCGCGCCAGGGGCCCCAGGTCGTCCTCGGCTGCCATCCACGAGTCGCAGGTCGGGTAGACACGCACCCAGTCGCCCTCTGCGGCCGGGGCCCGCGACCAGTCGCGGCCATTACCCCAGACGGCACGGCCTCGTCTCGGCTGCAAGCAAGGCGAGTCTCACCGACACTACCTCAGTGAGGTACCTCACGCACGTCCACACCACCGCTTAGGAAGAGGGAGGGCCTCACCATTGCCGTGGAGGGCCTCGGCCTCCGCCAGCCGCTGCCGTTGTTGATGAGCTGCACGGCGTTGTCCATGTCGCCCTCCAGGTCCGGGCCAGAGCAGCGGCGCACCTTCCTGCTGCGCGCCGCCGTGCGCGCGGCGGCGGGCGCCTGCAGGTGGTGGCCGCGGGACCGCGGCTCTGCTCCCCCTGCACTTGCACTCGTTCCCGCACCCACACCTGCGCGCCCGAGCTGCTTCTTTGCGCGGGGACCCTGCCCGAGGCCGACGCCGTCTTCGCCGTCCACCGAGGATGACCGACTCAACCTGCTGGAAAATATGTCAAGATAAGGAAAATAAAAATAAATAAACGTACGAACCCGAGCGCCGAGCGGCCCTACACCGGCGCCTTACCTGTGCGACCGCTGCGACCCCGCGGCCGACGCGGTCTGTGAGCGCCTGCGCCAGACGCCGGCCGCCGTGGCCGCGGTGATGGCCGACGAGTTCTTGCGGCGGGGGCTGCGGACGTCGTCCTCCTCCTCGGCGCCCTCCGTGCCGCTGGAGCCGTGACTGGAGCCCGAGCTGGACGCCTGCTGCTGCTGCAGCTGCTGCTGCTGGACACGCACAAGACCCCTGTGTCGGCGAGGGTAGGCAGCCCCGCTGGGCCCACGCGCCGTGCGGGACGGCCTGCCTGCCGGCGCTACCCCGTGCTCGCGCGTGGCGGGCGGGCGGGGCGGGGAGTAGAACTACAACCGCACCCGTACGTACCGTGCTAGCTCGCTCACGGTGCTGCTGCTGTTGCTGCTGTTGCAGCTGATGTTGCTGCTGCCGCTGCTGCTGCCGCTGCTGCTCCTCGTGGCGGCGTCGCAGCTGCACGGACAGCGCAGGCGGTGTGTTCTTGGACCAGATGCGGAACAGCGACAGGCCCGTGTTGCAGACCGGCATGCCCAGCAGGTCGAACAGGTCGTGGAGCATGGGCTTCTTGACAACGGGGTCCGCGTCGCAGTCTACTCCTAGCGCTGGGCTGAGGTTCACCTGCGATGCACGTGCAGCGTCTGTCATCGGCATCGCTACCCCTCTCGCAAGGACCCCGCCATCGGCGCGGGGTACCGTCGCGGCTCCTACCTCGAGCAGCCAGGGTCGCATGGCCGAGTCGATGAGCACGTCGAAGCCGTAGAACTCGAAGCAGTTGGCAGTTCGCGGCACACCGCGCAGCTGGCTCAGGACGGTGAGGACCACGAGCTGCGAGATGCGTTGCCAGAGCCACCAGTCGGATATGCGCGCCTGGTGGAAGTATCGCCGCAGCTGTTGCAGCGTCCACTTGCAGCCCGCTGCGAAATGACAAGTACCTCCGATTATACAGGGCGGGACTGGCATAGCGGGCCCTGGTCGGGCGCATGTTGTAGGTGCAAGTGGGACGCAAAAGCGCACCTGCTCCGACGCGCTCCTTCATCTCGGAGTAGGCGGGGCCCTGCTTGTTGAGCGAGGTGTTGGTGAGGTGGCAGTACAGGTTGTCGAGGCTCTTGAGCGAGAAGCGCTCCGTGCTGAAGCGGGCCAGTCCCTCGCGGTACAAGTACACCCGCAGCGGGTGGAAGCTGGGCACGCACACGTACAGACGCAGGTCAAACTTGTAGCCGGCGATGAGCAGCGGGTCCTGCACGTAGCGCTGCACCACCGAGCTCGCGCTGCAGCTTAGCTCATTCATGTTCTGTGAGCAGAGACCAAGGCGTGGGTTAGGCCAAAGACACTCCAAGTACCCAACGCACTTTAAATCCATAACAACCGGTCTGAAACAAATTTGGTCGATTTTTCGTAATTCTCGTTGTAAAGTTAATTGTACTAAGTCTAATCTCTGTTTATTTAATAAACATCGCAAAAAGTATGCGAAGCCAATTACTACAACCAACCTACAACTAA